ACTGCGGGCTGGGAAGCCGGGACCAGAGGAGGAAAGGAAGGAAGGAAGGAAGGAAGGAAGGAAGGAAAGAAGAAAGAGAAGAGAAGACAAGAGGAGAGGAGAGGAGAGAGGAGAGGAGGAAGGAAGGAGAAGACGAAGAGGAGGGATCCGGAGGGGGAGAGGAGACACAGGGCAGCAAGGAGGAGGAGAGAGGACGGCGCTCGCGTGGCAGCATCCAAAGGCCAGAGCAGGGACCCGTGCTGCCTCCGCTGCTCCTCGGATGGTGACAGGGCCCTGCCGCTGCAGTCCCCCCAAGCCTCTGCTCCACAGGCCCACAGCGCCGGAGCCCCGCAGGAATCATGCCCAGGTCCTTCCTGGTCAAGAAGGTCAAACTTGACACGTTTTCTTCGGCAGACCTGGAGAGCTCCTACGGTCGCACCCGTAGCGACCTCGGTGTGCGACTGCACGATAAAGGTGAGAACTGGGCTGAGGCTGGGGCTGGGGATCCAGGGCTTTGCTGGAAGGGGTGGAGGGACAGGGCCTGGGAAACAGACTGGAGGGAATCAGAACCAGCAAGAGGCTGTGGCTGGAGCCAGGACTGTGGGGCAGGGGTGAGTGTGGGGAAAGGGGAATGCAAAGGCCAAGGCTGGGCAGGGAGGGTATCCATGCTGGAGAGAGGGTGGGGAAGAGGGGTCAGGAACAGGAGGTACCTAAGGGCACACACGGACCCACGCCCTGACCCATGCTGGGATAGACACAGCCACATGAACACTGGCTGACACGACAGGACCCAGCCATGCTGGCACATGCAGACCCAAACCCAGAAACCTGGGCCCGCCTCACTACACTCTTCTCTTCCTTGGTTGCACCACCAGGACCCCTGCTAGGGCTAGCTGGGGAGTGCTGGGAGCTCCAGGGAGTAAGCATGGGGTCCAGCGGGGCCGCCCACCTGTCAGGGTGAAGGTACCGGCAGAGGCAGCAGCAATATCTTCCCTGAAGTCAGTGTCAGGGAGAAACATTCAGGAAGGCTGGTTGTGGGCAAGGGAGGCCCAAGGTGCAGGAGGCAGGGGAAGGCTCTTTGTGTAAGGGTGCCCAAGTTCAAGGACAACTGTTAGCATGCAAGAGAGGGGGACGGGAATGCCAGCAGCATGGGGTGGCAGAGCAAGTGTGACCTGCAGGAGGGTGAGCCTGTGTGGGTCCATGTGACTGCGTGTGGCCATGTGACCATGTGCGCTTGTGTGTGACCCTGTGTGAGTGTGTGCTTGCCTGTGTGCCACTACATGGGACCATGTGACTCTGAGGCCGCTGTGCACCATGTGACTGAGAGTGTGTCCGGGGTGGCTGTATGTGTGACCCTGCATGAGTAGGTGATGAGTGCGAGAATTCAGTGAGCAGCCTACCCTATGAGGGGACTCCGGGGAGGATGGTGGCTGGGAGGCTGGCTGTAACCCTGAAGGATCCAGAGCCTGCATTGTGAGTGGTGTGCATTTGTGACTTTGAGGTTGTGAGATCCATCTTGTGCCTTGGGAACAACTGCAGTTACCAGCATAAGTGATGCTGCTCTCCTGTGGCTCATCTCTGTGAAGGTGTCCCCTGGTGGACACCCTAGCTCTCTCCACACCACAGCATCTCTCTTGTTGCTTGCTGGGGGGGCTTGGAAAGGCCCCAATAAGGGGTTAGAGTGTGGGCAGAAGAGGGCAGTGTTGAACAGGGTAGGACCCAAGGGTGTAGAATAATGGAAGGGAGTAGAGGGAGAAGCAGAGTGGATGGAGGGGAACGGGGCTCCAACAGCAAGGGTAGGGGTCAAGTTCAGTAAGTGGTGGGAGATGGAGGTTAAGAGAGAGGTGCTGGTGAGGTTCAGAGGAACGGGGGGAGGTAGAAGTCTGGGGGAACCTAGGAGGCCAGAGAGAGGCAGAATCAAAATGGAGTACCGGTCCTGGGGGCCCGGGCAAGAGCCGGTGAGGACCTGTGAGAGGCGGGACAGGCGGGGTCCCT